CGCTTAAGTTGGCACTGGTCCTGGAAAACATGACTGTCATATTATGCTGTCACCAGTATTTCTGAAGAAAATTTAGAGTATAGGGTTGAGTATTTCAGATCTAACAATGAGTGGGCTTTTTGCCTGTCCCAGCCACTCCCTCCTTGAAAACAGAGTTAGTATTCTGCACTGCACAATAGCTAAAATCTTTAGCTTAACAGCTGTGCCAATATAAATTTTGAATTTTAATCTCTTTCATCAAGTAACACTCTTTGAATCAAAACATCTTCTTTTGAAGAAAGCATATGCTTATCTTTTTTTTTTTTCCATAATCAGAAAGCTTAAAAAAAAATAAAAAATAAGAACTCCAACAATTTGACTCAACCTACTTTTTATTTTTTTCTTTGAGTTTGTGGCATTTTCTGTTGCTTTCTGAAAAATTCAAAACAACTGAATAAAATTCTTGCCAGTTCTAGATCTGAGAAGGCTAAAGAATGCATGATTGCTCCTACATGGATATTCTTTTATTCTTTGACAGGGATATGAGCTAACTTTGCAAATAAGATACAGTCTGGTTGCTGATATAATTAGGTTGTATATTCAGTTCCAGAGATGCACTTTCTCTGTGTTTTCAAGCAAGTCAAACCCAGAACTTGCAAAAATATTAGCTGCTGCTACAACAAGCCCTGCAAAGCCTGAGAGTCTGTACATGGCATCTGCAATGCCCTAAGGATAGAAGAGATGGGTGGGAAATACAGAAGAGACTAATGTGCTTCCAGCCTGTCCTACTACAGGACAAATTCTTTGTTTCTCTCCTAAGCTTTTCTCATTTCCTTTTATTTTATGGACATTATTTAATAATTGCAAGGTTCTTCGCAATCTCTGCATGAAAGCACTAGGCAAAGTATTAATTCATGTTTCTATAATTCAGAAGTTTTACTTGTACTGTCTGGTCTGAAAGGTGTAACTGTAACAGTAAACAGTTTAAAATTAAGTAAGAACATTTTATTTTCCTTGGGAAACTCATAACTTGAGCTGAAAAAAAAAGTATTCTCATATCTTACATAACAAAAGAAATTACTTTTTTTTTTTTAATTCTTCCTTTCTAAAGGGCTTTTTATCTTTACATTTTAAAGACTAAGATAAAGTTAAATATAGTTATGATATTAGGCCTAGATCTTGTTTTTTCATCCATGGAAGTTTAGTAGACAGAAAAAGAAATCAACATCTTGTTGCTGATATCTTGTTGCCAGCTGCATTACACAGTCAGCAATGCTATACCAGTATCTCATTATCATATCTCATTATCAGCTCTGTTGGACTTCTTATGTTATCTATTAAATGAATACGATGAAACAGTTAATAAAAACATAAGGAAGAATAGGACTTAAGAATAAGGTGTCCTAAAAAAATTAAGGAAGTTTTTAAAGCTGTTCTCCTGTAAGTCTGTTCTCTCAGAGCCGAGAAACCTGTAGAACAGCCAAAGCATCAGCCCACTGCACTGCATTATTCTGGAAAGAGCCTTTTCACATTTTGTGCAAATGCACAAAGATAATGATATGGCTATAAAGTATAATATTAGCTCATACTAGCTCATCACTCATATTGCAAGTGCAAAAGCAAATAAATGACTCTATTACTAAAGCAAAAAAGAAACAAAAAAAACAACAAAAAATACACCAAAACTCCAACAAAAAAACACCATAAAACATGTGGCAGCAAGGACAGTATGGGTACAAAAGTTCATAGTGCCAAACAAGGTTCTCTAAGCACAGTTGCTTTCCATGATTGCAAAGATTAACAATCAAAGAGGTAGCATCCACACATTTCAAGTGAGACATAGATAAATGTTTGCATTTTTAAGATAATGGGCAGTGCAAGGATTAATAAAATATTTTTTCCTTTATGACAGTGTGTACATAGTCTGGGATCTTTCACGTGATGGTAATCCTGATACCCCAGTCCTGATACCCCAGTCTTAAGAGCCCATTGTTTTTTCTGCTTGCTTTGTGTTCTGCCTATCTTGGTATCACAGCTTCACAGGTGATAATGAAATGCACTTCTTTCAAGGACATTTAATTTGAATATTGTCAACAACTGTGCAAAATCAAGTTAAAGCACAAACCAATAACCTCTCCATTTGCAGCCCAAGCAATACTGTCAAAATACAGAACACACAATAAAAAGCAGCCAAAGCTGCTGAAGGTGCTAAGGTTACACCACAGTTGATGCCTACTAATTTTTGATGCCTACACAGGTGATGCCTACTAATTTGATTGTAATGAGGATATTATAACTGATATCAAAAAGCTGAGAAGACAATATTTTTTCCCCTTTTAGAAGCTGCAAGGTTTGGAATGACACACTACTTAACTCCATAGCCTTGAAATTAATCCAGGATTATTCAACTGCATGAGAACTGTTAGAAGACTGGAAACAACATCCCGCACTCTGTCTTTTTATTGTAACCTTCCTTATAATATCATCTTGCAGTGAAACCTGAATATCCTAATGGGATTAAACATGAAAGAAAGTCAGGAAAAAAGTCACTCGATTAGAATTTTAACTGAAGCCTTCTGTGAGAAAGACCACACCACTGTCAGTGACCTTTCTCTCCCCATGTGTGATCCCAGTTGTGCCTAGTCAAGTGCCCAAAGCAGACTCAATCAGTTCATGCTGTATTTATCCTTTAGCTCCTAAAACAGGTGTCTTGTTGTTAAGAGAATAAGCTTTCATGCTATTGATCAGGGTGTATTAACTGACCCTGCAAAAGTGCATAATGTTCTTTGGTATGAAAACCAGAATGTAATGATGCTATTTAAGTATTTAAGACATGAGTTTTGTATTGATAAAAAACATCATAATGAGCAAAATTCTGTTCTAGCAAGTAGGGAAAAGGGGGGGTGGGGGAAACGCAGGCTTTTGAATGTGCTAGAATGCCATTGCTATCTCTAGCTCCAGCCTTTGTTTGTTTTTTTAAATGCACTCTGATAAGTTTGCCTTTATATATCTAAAAAAAAAGTTTTAGAATCTCATACTGTATCTTCACAGCCCTCATTAGATACCACAAGAATGCTTTTCATCTCATTTTTACTCTAAACTCCTGAAGTCCTCCCTTGCTCTGAACAATTATATTAAGTAGGGAGCAGTTATTCACATATGGGCAGAAAACTAAGCTCAACCAAAAGAAACTTCTAAAACACTTTTCATTTTTATCATTCTAGATCTCCTTGCCTTTGCAGTGCTTCAAAAGATTCATACTCAGTCTCATAAATACTATCATAAAACATTAACAGTGTAAACTCTAGTGTGGGAGGATATGTATGAGGTTGAATTCCTGTTCCTACGCCCAGACACATGCTCCAAATGAGGCAACAAGAGGAACTTTCCTCACATCTTTCCAGGCACTGTGTTCTCCTAGTAATGTAGCTCCAGCTCAACCTATTGTTGCTCTCCTTTTCATACTAATTGAAATACCTGAAATGAAATCTTAGGTATTAATTTGTTTATTTTTGTTTTACTGTAGCAACTACTACATCTAGTGCTGAACCAGTACAAAGAGCAAGAAGACAGTCCTTGACCTTTTGTAAGATTAGTGTAAGAGAATAGCTAGACAGCACCATAATCAGATATGCGGATCAGCAGTCAGTAGGCCATGACTACTACATGCATTTTATCTGACAGTTCTGATTTGCAGGTTGAGATAATTATTGTCAACATACAATTTCCTATCAACATTTATAATCTCTTTGGCTCCTGTTTTAAAGCCCCAGTTCTTATTTCTCCTAAAGAAAAAAAATGCCTCTTGAGCTGTCCCAACACATAAAATGCTCTGCCTTCTCCTGCCCTGGTCTCCCAACCTCTTTTGTAGTTTACAGAAAGAAAACAGAGTAGGGACATAAAGTTTACAAGAAGGATGTATTGATACACAAAGATCCTCACAAAGAAGGTAAATTAGACATTTGACATGAACATGAATGACAGTTTCAACACTATGGTTTTAAAAATCCGCTTCCTGGTTGCAGAATTAATTGTGATGAAATATATTCATCCTGATGCTCTAATAATAGGAGCACATTTAATCTGCCTCTTAATTCACCAAACCTTTTAATCTGCCTAAAATTCCATAGACAAAAGCCTTTGATTATGATTTACCATGTCACTTCCCTCTTTGAATCAACTGGCTTATCTTTGCCCACCATATCAAGTACCAAAGTTTAGTGCTCAAACTCTGTAATATAAACAGCACTGCTTCAGTGTGTCCCAGGTTTTCTGTCTTACAAAAAATGACACCATAGTTTCATGAACAGAAAGCTTCACTGTTCCTTTCTGTCATTATCTTTCTTCCAATTCTGTGTCTAATTCAGACTCGGCTCCCATTTTTTCATCCAAGAGTCCCACTGTTTCCTAAGGACTGTTATTTGTTAGGAGTCATTTATTTGCATTCCCAAACTTATATTTGGATAAATGTGATGTAAGCAACAACCATCCCTTCCTAAGGAATCATCAATGGTTTTTTTCCACTGTTTTTTGGTCTTCTAGAATAAACACATTTCATTCATAAATTATCTAGCAGCATTTGTCTTGAACACTGATAAATACACTGTCATAATAAATAACTTTCCCGGTAAAAGGATTTCGATGGCTCCAATGCCATAGATAGATAGTTAAGAAAACTGCACTCTGCCCACTGCAAGGTACAGGGGGACTGTTTTCTCACAAGCAAACAACAGCTCTCTGATGAGTAAGGTTTGCTGACCAAAGTAAGGATTAATTAATCTGGAGCTCTCAAATACATAGTAACTAATAAGGTATTTACGCCGGATTTACTTTTTATATACAGAATGTTATGTAAATGCTGTATTTCATAAATTTATAGCATTTAGAAGTCAGATTTTAATGTCACCGAAACTTACTCTACACCAACTTTGGCCCATGTACGCTAATGTATCCCACTGGATGAACAGAAACCAGTTAAATTCACTATTAATTTGCACAGCAAAAAAATATAGAGTCAATACCTGCACAAACCCACACATCATGTAGTCATCAAACAAAGGCAGACTAGGGCGGTCCTCTCGATATATTGTGATTTTGTAGCTGCTCACAACCTGAGGGCTGGGCTGCGAATCATCTGTTACAAGAACAATGACTTTGTTCAATCCAAGGCCAAGGGGGTAGTTAGCAATGCTGGAAGACAAAACAGGAAAGGAGTAGAACACTAAAGATACAAAGATTTACACTGTTTTTTATATGGCAGAGAAAATTTACTTGCTCCTTGAGGTTTCTATTTCTAACATTTTCTTTTTCTTTCAAAATACATATGATTTTTAACAAAAAACAGTGTAAAATAAGATTTGTCACAATTTACATTTCTTTCAGGAAAACTAAACACCAATAGTGAAACTTAGTGGTAATGATGTCAAGTTCAACAATTCTGACATGGAATCTGTGAATGAAGGAAAATAAGAAATGCTGAAAGACACAGAACCTGCATATTTACTTTTCAATGTAAATGACATATTGCTATTCTATTTTCCTTCTACAAGGAAGTAAGTTTTTTTTCACATGTATCCATGTTGACTGCCAAGGCAGTTAACATTAAAACACTAAAGCTGGGTGGAAGAATTTTATGGGAGCTTCTTTTGAATTGATAAATCAAGACTCATTTCCTTTAGAAAATACAGAAAGCATATTAGGCATTAGGTCAGTAACAACCATCCAGTCTGGTTAATAGCAGACATTCTAGGTCAAAGCATCTGCTTCATAGTCAGTCAAAACACAGTGCATTGCATAAGCCCTTCATGCCATGAAGCAAAGCTAGCTCTGTAATGGTTAAGGATTCTTCCTCCCAAGTGCATTATTGTCCCTTCTCTCCCTTTCATCCACTCACTAATGGCTAGTATGTAAATAGGACAGTTGTCTAGTTCTGAGTTACCTGACCCAGATAAATAAACCCTCTTTGTCCCTCCCAACATCCAAAACCAAGTCATGCCCAAAATACCTATTGGGATTGTCCTTGGCACATGCTGTCTGTGAGAGAGATGTTTGGGAAAGACAAAACTGTGCCAGGGATCAGAGTAGCAATTAAACATCACGGATGATTGTGTTTCAGTGCTCAAACCTGATGTTTAGTGATGACTTTGCTCTCTATCCTGTCTTCTAGCTTTATACTGTTCTAAAAGATCAGATAAATTGGCACTATTGCTGATGACAAGATGACCCACTTAGTAGAAGAGGGAAAGGCTACTGAAGTTGTTTATCTGGACTTTAGTAAAGCCTTTGATTCTTTCCTAGAGCATTCTCCTGGAGAAACTGTCTGCACACGGATTAGATGGGTGTACTCTTTGTTGGGTAAAAATCTGGCTGGATGGCCAGGCTCCAAGACTGGTGGTGAATGGAGTTAAATCCACTTGATGCCAGTCATAAGTGGTGTTCCCCAGGGCTCAGTACTGGGGCCAGCTCTGTTTAATATCTTTACCAATGATTTGGATGAGTGGGTCGAGTGCACCCTCAGTAAGTTAGTAGATGACATCAAGTTGGGCAGGTGTGTTGATCTGCTTAAGGGTAGAAAGGCCCTAGAGAGGGATCTGGACAGGATGGATCAATGGGACAAGGCCAACTGTATGAATTTCAAAAAGGCTCAGTTCCAGAACCTGCACTTGGGTCACAACAACCCCATGCAATGCTATAGGCTTAGGGAAGAGTGGCTAGAAAGCTGCCTGCTGGAAAAGGACAGGGGGTGTTGGTCGATAGCCAGCTGAATGTGAGCCAGCTTGTGCCCAGTTGGCCAAAAAGGCCAATAACGTCCTGTCTTGTACCAGAAGTAGTGTGGCCAACAGGACTAGGGAAGTGACTGCCCCCTGCACTCAGTACTGGTGAGGCTGTGTCTTGAATAGCGTGTTAAGTTCTGGGCCACTCACTACAAGAAAGACACTGAGGTGCCGGAGTGTGTCTAGAGAAGGGCAATGAAGCTCATGAAAGAAACATAAAACAATTCTGTAATATTTTGATGTATTTCCAAGGTTAAGGACACTTTTATTGTTTACACTCATATTTTGTTGCTCATACCTTGGCCCTTTCTTCTCGTCAAGATGTACTTTGCATTGACAGTTAGAAGGTTCTGCTCCTATCTTCACCGTCATCATGTCAAATGGGACTTCTGCATAGTATTCTTTGATCTTTGGGTTAAATTGAGGATTCAGGTCCAGCTGTGGACTGGTGAAGATCTGCCTGATATGAGATAGGGTATCTTTATCTGTTCCAAGAAGGCATCAAAGAAAAAACTGTGAAATGTATGAACATTTTTAAGTAACACGCAGCTTCTGGCAGATTGATAACATATACAGTGACAAGATTTTTAATGCCTGGTCATTCTGATACTGATAATCCTGCTGCAAGTTCTTAATGGATTTTCTATTGGCATTTCATAGAAGCTTTTAGAGCTTGGAGGGATTTTAATAATTCAGAGCCCAATGACTCCAGCCAAAGTCACAAAACTCAAAGTCTTAGTAAGCCTTTGAAAATGCAAGGATTAAGTCTGGGAGATCTTGGCTCCAGTTGGTTAACTGAAACTTGAAGAGTCAGGCCAAAATTCATAACCTACTTAGGTACCAGCCTGCGTACAGGGTTTATGTACCTGTTCAATTGCCAATAATAATCAAAATAACTTAGACATATTCCTAATGCTCATGAGAACAAGTCACATGGAGATATCTAGACCCATGGGGTCATTTGCAGTACAGCTGGAAGAAAGTTTTATTAAAATTCCTAAATCAACAAATTCCAGCTCCTTCCCTGTGTATGAAACCTCCACAATCAAATCCTATTTGCTCAAATGTATCCTTTATTTTGTAGTCTTTGCCAAATGACTCATGAGAATAATTATTTGCTAGCTACCCACTTATGACAAATATTTTAATCCAACCTATTGGATTCAGATTTACAGCATAATTATACATTCAAAAATTGCTTTTCACATATATTCTCTAATACAGGTTTAAAGCTGAGTACTTCAGCCAGTACTTGCCAGCCAAGAAACTCTTTAACATCCAAAAAATCCTGTGGTTTAAAATACAGCTTAGAAGGGGCATAAATGATGCAAGCAGTTCTATGAGGGCCTTTTCTACCTTGAAATATCTGCCTTGAGAAGTGCAACAGGGCAATTTCAGCACTCTCTTGCAGGGATTAAAATGTAAAGGAAGCTATTCCAGTGGAAAAGCAGAATTAAGGTTAGACTTGTAGGGGAATGGAGGTTCATAAATTGACACAAAAGGTGTTTTAAAAAATTCTATAGGTGAGTATAAAGAGTTCTCCAGATCCTCTATGCCTTTCCTAGAAAGGTTGTCTCACTACTAGCTTAAAAAATAGGAGGAATTTTCTAAATAAAACTAATTGAGGCATTTTCAAAACAAAATATCATGGAATTGGAATGGTGAGGACAGTCAGCCTGTCCAGGAGCATTTCCAGCCTCTGACTGACACTGAGGAATTCCTGGAGGCACCATGAGATGAGCAACAGAGGTGAAATAGGGCTCAATGGGTAGAAAAGTCTTTCTGCCACAGAGCAGTTGTTTTGCATTTATAAAGCAACCGCTCAGATCATGTGTCAGTGAGGAAGGCAGAAGAACACATTGCTCCCACCAAAGACAAATACACTTTTAAGCTTTAAGCATCCTTAAATACCCTTTAAATATTCCTACAAGCAGGTATTTTAGAAAAAGTCTTCATCTCTTAAGCAGCTCTTTAAAACTCCACCACTGAGCTGAAAACTGACCTTATACAAGGCTGATATTAAACTCCATACAAGTTTAAAGATCATGCCACAACAAAAAAATGCATGCTAAAATTCTTGGAAATAAGGGGGCAAAAGTCTATTGAAGTGAGGCAAGGGATCAATGAATGATGGAATACTCACATTAACATGCACACATAACAATGTTTAATTTTATGCTTGAGGCTTATTTAACATAATAGTGCAATTATTGAGTGTTTCATAAACATTCTTGCTACTTAAGAATCCTTTTTTTTTTATATATATATATATATAACAGCCCACAGGCATTGCACTCACCCCTTTCATGCAGAAACCCCTCCCCCAAGAAGTTTGTTCAAGTAATCACTCTTCTTCCCCCTTAGTGGTCTAGAAAGACCCTGACTTACCATAACTGCATTGTCTTTCTTTAGTCTTACTGGAATAATGCAATGCTGAAATAGAAGCAGAAACAATTAATAATTTTCTGCTCTGAGCCTGATTCAAAATCCTATCAGAGAAGGAACTCTCATTGTGTTAATAACAAAAAATACAGTGCACTTTCACACTTTTTATTTCTTTTATTCTTTTCTCCATTTTAGACTTGAACATTGCTCATAGGCTCAGCAGAGTAATTTACACCAGTAAGGAAGAAACTGGTCTTCTATATGTAGTAAGCCAAGAACTTTCATCTAAAATGCAACACAATGTAATCTAAATCAAATACATCATCAGAAGTAGCACAAATAGGAAGAACATACCATATATAACAGACCTTACTCTGATCCCTTACCATCATGATTCTTCCTGAAATCAGAAGGAACATTCTGCTTAGGACTTGCATTTTCTTGAGAACTCCTGCCAATAGCAAACATACTTCTATATGAATACAATTAACATAAACCATAGAACATTTTTCAAAAATTTCTATATGGCATCCCAGGTCCCATGATATTTTAACATTCTCAATGGAAAGATGAACCTCCTGGAGTCATTTCTCAGCATTAGCTATATTACCCGAATGATAGAAAACACACATTCCATAATAAATGGTAGCATATCACATGAAAAAAGAAAACCAGAAATAAATTACAAAACACAAATTTCTAGGGGGAGAAAGAGTAGATATAGCCAAGAATAAAATAACCCAAGCCATATCTCTTAACTGTTTGTATAACGTTTGGAATGGGGGTGGTTTTTATATATTTGAGTTTAAAGTTCAACTTTGTTCAAAAAGAACTAAACAGAAGGGAAGGCCTGTGTCAAGGTGAATACCTGTACCGACGTTAGCATGAATTCATATAATTGAACATCTATGTGTTTTAATTTGTTTACTAATTCAAAACAAATCACATGATCAGCATCCAGTGTATAAATATAATTCCTCAGTGAAAAAAAAAATGGCTTCTTTCCAATCCATCTACTGGACCTCTGGCTGATAAGACCTTTTCAGAGGTTCATTAGTATTTCTTCAAGATTCCACATGTTTTCCTCTCAGTGTGTAGAAGTTCTCATAAAGCAGCTTCTTCCTGGATACCACTGCCCATACATTTTGCATTTTGAAAGTCACTGTGCCAAGGAAAGAGATGGCAATATTGTTCTGTAATCAGCCATCACTAATGTTTCAACAGGAGCTGCTGAAAGCAAAAGTGAGGTCAACCATGGTAAAAGGTAAACTGTCCAATAATAAAACAGAGATTTCTGCATTATCTCAATAAGGAAAGAAGCAGCTGTGTCTCTGTGTCTCTGTGTGTGCATGAAAATGTAATTTTGAACTTACAGAATCTAGACACCACCCTAATTTCATGCACATTCATAACCTACTTCAAAGGAGAAAATTAACAAGCTATTAAAGAGGGTATTTTTTCAAGTTACAAGCCATTTTACACCCCTCTTTCTGCTTGCCAAGGGGGTAATGGCTAAAACCTGTCAAATATGTTTTCTCCCTGCTGTTCCTTTTTGCTTGCCCAGTCCCAAACCCTCTTTTAAGGTGAAAACAAGATGTCTTAATTCTATGAAATGCCAGACTTTGGTTTAGCCAGAGGACATCTCAGGACTGCAGCAGTGCGTACCACATTGCAAGGTCCTGCATCCCAAAGTAATCACAGAAACATGGAATAGTTAGGGTTAGAAAGGACCTTAAGACCATCTAGTTCCAACCCCCCTGCCATGGGCAGGGACTCCTCACACTAAACCATGCCACCCAAGGCTCTGTCCAACCTGGCCTTGAACACCGCCAGGGGTGGAGCATTTAACACCTGTTTGGGCAACCTGTTCCAGTGCCTCACCACTCACAGTAAAGAACTTCTTCCTTATATCCAATCTAAACTTCCCCTCTTTGAGTTTTAACGCATTACCCCTTGTCCTATCACTACAGTCCCTAATAAAGAGTCCCTCCCCAGCATCCCTACAGGCCCCCTTCAGATACTGGAAGGCTGCTATGAGGTCTCCATGCAGCCTTCTCTTCTCCAGCCTGAACAGCCCAAACTTTCTTAGCCTGTCTTCATATGGGAGGTGCTCCAGTCCCCTGATCACCCTCGTGGCCCTCCTCTGGACATGTTCTGACAGTTCCATGTCCTTTTTATGTTGAGGACACCAGAACTGCACACAACACTCCAGGTGAGGTCTCATGAGAGCAGAATAGAGGGGCAGGATCACCTCCTTCGACCTGCTGGTCACACTTCTTTTGATTGCAGCCCAGGATACACTGAAGCCGGCTCATGTTCATTTTCTCATCGACCAACACCCCCAAGTCCTTCTCTGCAGGGCTGCTCTGAATCTCTTCTCTGCCCAACCTGTAGCTCTGCCTGGGATTGCTCCGACCCAGGTGTAGGACCTTGCACTTGGCATGGTTAAACGTCATGAGGTTGGCATCAGCCCACCTCACAAGCGTGTCAAGGTCCCTCTGGATGGCATTCCTTCCCTCCAGGGTATCAACTGAACCACACAGCTTGGTGTCATCGGCAAACTTGCTGAGGGCGCACTCAATCCCACTGTCCATGTCAGCGACGAAGATGTTGAACAAGACCGGTCCCAACACTGATCCCTGAGGGATATCACTCATTACTGGTCTCCAGCTGGACATTGAGCCATTGTCCACATCTGTTTGCATGCGGCCATCCAGCCAGTTCTTTATCCACCGAGTGGTCCATCCATCAAATTGATGTCTCTCCAATTTAGAGACAAGGATGTCGTGTGGGACAGTGTCGAACGCTTTGCACAAGTCCAGGTAGATGACATCAACTGCTCTACCCCTGTCCATCAGTTCTGTAGCCCCATCATAGAAGGCCACCAAACTGGTCAGGCAGGATTTCCCCTTAGTGAAGCCATGCTGGCTGTCACCAAGCACCTTGTTGTTTTTCATGTGCCTTAGCATGCCTTCCAGGAGAATCTGCTCCAAGATTTTGACAGGCAGAGAGATGAGACTGACTGGTCTGTAGTTCCCTGGGTCATCCATTTTCCCTTTCTTGAAAATGGGGGTTATATTAGCCTTTCTCCAGTCATTGGGAAAATCGCACGACCTGTACGTATCAACTTGTAAGGAGATTGCAATTATTATCAGGCAACATTAAGAGCCATATAACTGCTCTATCTAATTACAGCAGGGTATTGAACTGTAATATTTAGAAGTGTTATTACAGCTAGATACTCAGATTACTATATTTACAGAAAGACACTTACATTACAGTGTGGCCAGCAAGACTAGGAAACTTGTCCCCCTGCAGGTAAGGCCACACCTCAAACCCTGTGCTCAGTGACTCTCACTACAAGAAAGACATTGAGGCGCTGAAGCATATTCAAAGAAGAGCAGTGAAGCTGGTGAAGGGTCTGGAGAGCAAGTTTTATGAGAAGCAGCTGAGGGAACTGGGGTTTTTTAACCTGGAGAAAAGGAGGCTCAGAGGAGACATCACTCTCTACAGATACCTGAAGGGAAGTTGTAGCAAGGTGGGTGCTGGTCTCTTCTCCCAGGTAACAAGTGATAGTACAAGAGGAAACAGTCTCAAGTTGCACCAGGGGAAATTTAGATTGGGTATTAAGAAAAAAATATTTACCAAAAGGGTTGTCAAGCACTGGAACAGGCTGCTCAGGGAAGTGGTTGAGTCACCATCCCTGGAGATATTTAAAAGATGAGTAGATGTGGCACTTACGGCCATGGTTTTGTGGTGGACTTGGCAGTGCTAGGTTAACTGCTGGACTCAGTATCTTAAAGGTCTTTTCCAATCTAAATGGTTCTATGATTTATCTCTGCTGAAAACTGGGCTTTTTAATCATCATCACCATCAAGTACTCCTTTGTCCAACCTCCTTGTAGTCAGCAGACTGAGGGACGATGCCGTTACAAAAGCTCTTCTTCAGGCAAGCAGTGGCTGAGATCCTGGACTCTGCAGAGTCCTTTTCTTCATACACTGTTACCCAAGAAAGAACCTTCACCTTTATGAGTGGCCTCTTATTTATTATCTTGGAGGAGCTATCAAGCAGAGAGATACACATTGCCTATTAGAGCTAATGAAACTAATGACTGTATGTCCGGTACCCTAGGTGACAACATGCCTGTGAATCTACACAGGGATTTTTCAAAAGGTAGATAAAAAAGGAAAAAATGTAGTCACTTTTGTGGTCTCCAGTGCATGTGTTACTTGTGGATGGTGCAATTCTTAATAGGTCATAAAGAAAAAAATTGATATTTCAGTATTCAGCAGAGTTATGAATTTTATTTCTTTAGATAATGTTTTCTAGGTCTCTTGAAAATGAGAAGCCACAGGAGGTAATTTTGTGAGACATGATCACTAGCAATTTTTTTCAATTTGATTAACCAGCAATGTGAGCTCTCTGTTTTGTAGTGTTTGCATGGCCTCAGTTACAGAGTTTCCATTAGGCATACAGTTCACCAAATGAAGTATCTTGTGCTGATCTTCCAAAGAAATACAAAAGAGCAGACTGAAGAATGGGATTGATTTCCTTGCACTTAATCCCAACTTTCCTCCTTCTCTGTCTCTCATTTCTCCCATTGCAGATCTTATCCAGACTTCCTTGCTGTTGTTTGCCCCACAGGCCAAACCATGTTTGTTTCTCAAACTGCCCGAGAGCATGACGTCGTTAAACTCCAAGAAAGTATTTCCAACCCAAATTCAATTTCCAGGCTGCTGCTTCTATTTTGGCCCCACACACAAGAGGCTAGTAACACTTTCCCAAATATATCAGTTGATTTCATTGAAGCATTTGCAACTTTATTGACGTGCTTAGGCTTCTGTCTTCTGCAAATACAGAGGGGTTAGCTTTTCTCAGTAATCTGATCCTACCATGCTACCCTGCTGTCCAAACATACTTGCTGCAATACTTCATAGGCCCTATTCTAAAAGACAGTAATGATCTTAGTCATATCACAAGTTGAAACTGTGCAAAGTTGAAAAACAGTCCACAAACAATGCAGAAAACTGATCTTAGTGCACATTAGGTAGTACCACTCCCTCATATTTAAAGAACTTTTTATGTCATACCAATACATCTGAGATGGTCATTCTCACCTAGGATGTAACCATTTCATTATAGTTTGAGATGAGTTTCTAGAGTTCTTCTTGCTTCTCCTGTGAAAGGAATTCAGAGAGATCACTAATACCACTTAAGATTTCAATACTAGCCATGTAGATGAAACGGGTTAAGAAAACTAGACCTTTAAATTCTTTCTTCACCCTGTGTACTCATGATCAGTGAACAGAATAACTGCACAAGACCAAAGTCAGAAGTCATTATTTTTCCCATAAGTATCTTGTCTGGTTGGACAGTCAGCTGTGAAAAATCACTGAATTTTGTAAATGGAAATAACAATTTTGCATAGTCAGAGAAATAGGAACTGTTAAATGCATCAACAAAACAACCTGACCCTAACTGAAGAAATTCAGGAAAATTGTTCTGATATGAAAACTCATCAAATCTGGGAATCTCAAAAAAAGATGAATCAAAGCTTGGAGAGAATGCTTACCTGAACTATTTGGGGAGTAAACTCTACTAAGCTCTTTCTTGTAATTAAGTATAATTACATGCATATCTGACATATGCTTCACCATCACATGCATGTAGCTATAGGAGTGGAAGATTATGATTTTGCAATGTCAAAACAAGTGTTCTTTTACACACTGAATGGACAGAATGGCATTATTAGCTTAGCCATTGCAGAAAAATACAGTGCAAAGAAGCAGATTGGCCTATGCGCTGGGGAAAGGTCATGGTATTTCTACATATTTATACATACACAATAGTGTTCAGCTTGAAGAAAAACAAAAGAGGCCCAGGGCCTTGCTCAAAGTGAGAGAGTGGCACTGCTTAGATTAGAACAGAAAGCTGCTAAAGGCTGGTATGCTTTGATATGCAAACCTAAATATTTTGGCAAAAGGGCAAGGGCTTACACATGAATGCAAACAGCTGCATCTTTGAGTTAGTTTTCATGGAGTGGCTGGCAGTAGCAACAATAATACTTAGCACATTCATGGAACTATGTATGTTCAAAACACCAATAAACAGTTACCCAGCATGGTGGTAATGTATAAGCTCCACTTTATAGCTAAGCAAACAAAGATACAGCTGACTACTGACTTGCCGAAAGCCACACCCAATTTAATGAGGATCAAAATTAAAATTTAAGAAATCTTACAGATGCCTTATGTAGTCACTATGGTGTTCTCCAAGCAAAACATACAAAATAATGTCATTTACACATTTAACTTTAGACTTACTGGAATGAAGCATACACATTGTCTAATGAGCCTCTGCTCCCAAGCCGTTGTTTGCAAAATCAGATACAATTGTAGTTAGTAAAGAAGTATGACATACATGTCCTAGAAACAGAACCAAAGAAAAAAACCTGTCCTATGTAAAAACCTAACTACATCTCTAATGCCAGAAGGGCTGACATTGCTGCACAATGGGATGATGGACCTTCATCTCAAGTGTTGTAAATCCACTACATCTACTGAAGTATTAAGTTTTATGATGCTCACTGGATCTGTTGCAGTTAATATAATTTGAGAAACTACCCTCAACATTTCATATTATAGCTATCTTACCATTCTGAAGGATTCATTTGTGCCTCTTTAGTCATGGACTGGAATTGTTCAAGTAAACTGGAAAGCAACCAATGCACAGTCAGGACTGAACCAAGTTGTCTCATTGGGTCCACCATGTGATAGAGGTCACGCAGTAAAGTTTGAATCTGGGGTGCAGCAGAAGGGAAAAGCTGAGAAGAGAGACACTGATTAGAGACTACATATTATATTTGTAAAATGCAAAGAAGAGAGAAATCATCAGATGACAGTGTATAGAGTATGCGGATATTAATATATTATGCATTAATGCTCTCTCCACATGTGTAGAAAGTAATTGTCTTGCTCAGCCTTGCAAATCAGGATTGCTAGTACTGACATGGAGGTCTTACTCCTTTGCCTGTCCAGACTGTCTCCAACCCTGATACTCATCCAGGAGGTCTAGAAGAAATCCTGATATTATGCAGACTTTCTGAATGATAGATCCAGTTGCAGATTATTATTTCCCTAATACTCATTTCCCCCATTAATTGCCATACCTATTCAGAGACACTGACAGTTACTCCTCTACCTCTATTCTTCACCAAAATGAAACTCTCTTGAAGTGTGAAGAAGATGATATATTACACTTTTTTTTTTTTTGTCACTCTTTCATCTATATCTATTCTCTGGTCACGATTTCAGTGCTGTATTGTCTCCAGTTCTTCCACTCACAACCACTTTGCTGCATTACCATTCTATTTTCTTACCAGCTCATTAGTAATTTACATAATGCTCATCCTTTTCCTTTCATTCTATTTTCTGGTCTCTGTTTCTGCTTTAGCTGTCCTTTCCAAGGAATCCTGAAGTCAAATTATCAGTTTTATTTATTTTAATTTAAATTCCAAAAATCCTCCAAAATAAAATCAGTATAACTTCTATATCCTTTCCTATCCATCCAGCCTAATATATGTGCCAGAGACAGCAAAGAATGGCAATGAAAGAGAAATATTAAGAGATTTACAAAAAAATACATATCCAATACAACAAAACCCTGTCATTTTACCAGCTCAAATTGTCCAAGACTCTTCAGCTCCTTTATGAAAGTTATCATTGAATTTATCTCTTCTAAAGACAAACATTGCTCATCTTCTCTGTGGTAAGTTCCATCCTATGAAGGAAAGGGCAGCATATTCTGGTCAAATCACATGGAAAGCAACATGCTTTCTTTAGACCCCAATCTTTTTGGTGATCAAAGGAACAGGCTATAGCAGCTCTCAACCTGCCCTAACCTCATCCAAAGTCATGTCAAGGCAGCTCTTTGATAGCTCTTCCCATTTCTTGGTATGGAGTAAAGCAGACTGTGCATTAGCTTTGTGTAGAAAAGTACCCTTAGAAACTACCATGAGAAGAGACTGCATAAAGTATAGACAATGAAGTAGACACTGAAATGTGGTCTGGTCTCCTATGGAATGTAGATTTAGGTTATCATATCATATATGTGCCCGTGTCTGCAGCTTCCTACTTTATCCTGCCGTTAATTTAGCACCCATGATCCTGTTTTAGCCGCACCTGTCTGAGAGGCAGAAGTTGCATGGCTAATTTCGTCCTTGTGAGTCTTGCAAGCAGGTGGTTCCTCAGAAATGCATCCTTAAAAGTGACCAGACTGAAATAAATGCTACTACAGGAGATCCCCACTTGTTAGAAATCGTAATGTAAACTTTATGCAGATCTTATAAACGCAAAAAAAAAAAAGGTAACTGGAACTTTCATTCAGAGGAAGACACAGAGTAGTAGAAAATAAGTGAATTCTGATGCTCATGAATCTTGTCTGAGTTAGTCATTTCTCAGATTACGAAAAGACACAAACCCGTGCATTTAAAAAGACCATCTAAAAATGGTGGAGAAATTACTTTGTTAAAGGTTAAAATCTATCCTTAAAATACTGTACGTTGGGGAATGATATCATTTGAGAGACAATTTTTTATTAAAACAAAATGTGTTTGTTCAATATAATTACTGTTTTATTCCCCAAAGTTCAGTAACAGGTTTTGATTAAATAAATCCTGCATTTGATTAAATAAATACTTCATTCTATAAGTTTGCACCAAAATTTCAGACAGGCATACAGTCTAGAATTAAATATTTTCAAATAGTTAATAGTAAGCAAAAGGTGGAATGAACTACCTTACTCACAGCTGATGCATATATTTTTTGTAAAGCTTCTATGAAACTGGTTGTCGAGGATTCGTTAGACAGGAGAAAATTAAAAGTATCTTCAAAAAGCAATTCTTTCAAAGTTTGGTCCTGAATTTTTGATTCATCCTCATCTTGAAAGTCAAAGTTTTCATGCACCTGTTGGAAAACAAGGTAAGAATTTACAGTCTGAACATCAAGTCCAGTCTTCTCATAACCACATATACCAAACTGTAATTATTTATTTAAAAAGCAGGTCATAATATTAATAAAACAGACAGGATTATAATCTAAAATTCTGTACCACATTTTCCATCAGAACTACACACCACAATGTTTGCTGACCTCCAGTGGATAGAGTGTAATATTGCATACTCACGTGAAAGGTTTTTTTCATGTGCTTGATTTGAAATTTAATTAAAAATAAAAATGTCAGTTTATACTGACAACTCTTGCACAACTCTGGTATTTAGGACTTGTGAAAGATGAAAGTATAAGTTTTACAACAATACATAAACACAATGAATAAACTCATGTTCATAAAATACAAATAAATTAGTATTTTAACATAAAAACATAAAACCATGTAACTTCAAGCTGCATGGGCTGTGTGCATGATATGGCTTCCAAAAGATATTATTCAAAGTCAAAAATCATAGTAATTATCAACTGGGATTTTTTAGAGTAATTTGTGTTTTCATAAGAAACTGTTCAACTGATTGACTGTACATTCATGGATTATAGCTGATGGTTGAGACTGCTATACAGGCAGGTAAACATTATGTGTTATGTTTAGTTTTTTAAGCAACTCCTGGCAGAATTTTTTTTACAGCCTGGTAAACAGTTAATAACACGTCACGTTTCTTATACTAGCTAAACAGGTCTTGTCAGACTAATTAAGGATATTGTCTTCATGGATTTTTTTTTAACTTGTGCAAATTTTCTTTCATATATGCATCTTTTCATTGTGTTTCAAGGATCTTTGTTTTTGTGAAGGATGGAGAGACTGACTGCACTCTTGTTACTAGAAACCTCAACAGATTTTTATTGAGGATACATTTTTAAAATGTTCTCTTGTAATTTCCTAGGATATTGACTGGTTTTTTTTCTTTGTGTATCATAAATATGAACAAAGATTTTATGCACCTAGGTCTATACATATTTGTGTGTATATACAGGGGCAATGAGAAGCAGCTGGAAAGCAGTACAACTATTGTTTCCACCCCAGCTGTTCTGAGGTAGGAGTGGTACAAAACGGGCACAGGGAGTTTGTGCCCAGGTCATATTTCTCTGGTTTTGAGGGCCCTGAGGACCATGCAGAAAGAAGGCAGCATGGTGGAGGTAAAAGCAGGTCATGAGCTGGAGAAGTACAGTTCAATTCAATTTTTATTAAAAGCCAGTTGTGGTATTTTAACTTTCTCCCTTCGTGTCTGTTCTGGCACAGTTTATACTTGACTCTACCTTCATGCAATGCTTCCTGTGGATTTTGTTTCACTGATAGTTGGGGTGATAGTCTTTTAAAGCTAAAGTGGAAGCTTTAGTGGAGTGTCAAACTTCATCACAGGAACCCCACTTTTAGGCAAAATTAATACTGATGTATTTGTACATTTCTCAGAAATTTGAGGGTACCTATCAAAGAGGGTTCCCTGCTGGTTCTTTTTGATGTAAGTTTTTTGGGTCAAGAAATAACTTGTGTAATTTTCTCACCTTGAGAACAACTGGGTATATGGAGGTGCCAAATCCAATGTCAAAGGTTAGCATTTGAAAACATTGGCTGCATCTGAAATACAATGTAATGGGAATCAGATTCAATGAAATAGGTACTCATAAAATTGAGACTCATATAATCATTTAAGCTGGAATAAACCTTTCAGATCATTAAGTTCAAATGGTAACTTAACACTGCCAAGTCCACCACTAAACCATGGCCCTATATATGCTACGACAAACACACACAGGTCCAGAGAGCACACACAAGAACATACACACACAGGTCAAGAGACAGCATGTAATACAGACTAAATAAGATTTCTAAGAAAAGACAGCAGTATTAAAGATAGATGGAGTCAGACTGTGAGCCAATGAAAACAGTGCTATATTAAAGTGTATTTACATACGGTTGACTTTTAAAGCAGTGAGGGAGGTGAAATACACGGGAGGAGAAAATGCCTTTTGATGAGAATTAGCTCCTGCAAAAGTTCTGAAGACATCTGGAGGGCAATAGCTGGTGAAACTCTCTGACTCACTGAAGCCAAAGAACTGGCGGCAGCTACAGGGTTGTTTGAAGGCATGGGCCAGGAGCTCTAAGCAAGTCTTGGTCTACACAAACCAGAGATATCCATCCCATTGGCAAAAAATACTGGGCCACTGTCAAACTAGCTCCATCCCTGTTACACTGCTTCCCTCCTTGCTGCCCTCTCCACTCACAATGTAAGCTTTATTTCCAACTTGCATAAGTCAAATAATGAGCTTTATATTATTGCTACTAAAACACCTGGGTTCTCAAACAGCTTTATAAACTATATAAATTTAATTAATAGTGACTTATTTCACATTTATCGCTAAAATGTCAGGAATGTGACATAACATATATGTATATAACAAATATTAATTTTAATTAATACAAATATTACATAAAGTTGATTTATGTGTAAGAACTTTAACACTGTAATAGAAATTATTACAATGATTTAAAACCCACACAAATGTGACTGTTGCTGACTAGGTATATTTACAGCTGTATATTTCATAAAGGATCCTACAGTGTCTCTTGTTCAGCTTGCCAGCCCACAGCCAGCTCTGAACCGTCTGGACTACTCTAACATTAAATATTTGACAGAAGACAAAAAGCTCATTGAAGGGAAATACAGCTTTATATATGTTAGAACTAGCCCAATTGTGAGAGATTGCTGTTCATTTGTGCTGCCTGAAACACTTAATCAGGACACAGTATCTGGTCCTAAGTATCCATCATAACCTTTCACAAAGTCTAAGCACTGTGGATGTTGCGAAGAGTTTTACTCCTATATGCAGCATGTTGTCACTTTAAAAGGAAGTATGAAATAGAGGTGAGTATCTCATTTTAAGAGTCCTTTACAATTTTTATTCTGTTCTAAGGAGATATTTTGACAATAGCATACCAATGACCGCTGCAAGTCACTTACTGATTGAAAGAATTTGGTCCTGAGGCAGACGATTCACTGAAGACCTCAGTCATAAGTAGAAGTTTGCTTATAGCTTCCTTCATGTTGTTGAAGGCTTGTTGGGGAGAACTGCTTCTGAAGAACATCTCGAAAAACTTTTGCAGCTATAAAAAAGATTACATGTATTTTTGAACATTTACAGTAAATCATGCATTGAAAGGCTAGTAGAAGTAAAAATTGCTTTAGAATGTCAGCGTCAGATCTTATTCATTTGAAGAGTAGAGTGGCATGAAAAGCTCCACACTGCATACTAATACAGAATGACTCCTTGTATAAAAATAAGCATATCACAAAGAAACTCTGTATTAATGGTTTTAAAAAATACTCACAGACTCAGATTTTGCTCACAGACTAAGCTGACTTTGAAAAAACCTTTTGCTCTCACTGGTTCTAGGCAACGGAAACCACAGACACTTATTTCTTCAGCAGCAGGTAATAGCACACTCAAAGCAAAAGCATTTTTTCCTGTTAACATACCGTGCCAAGGGCTATCCCACTTGACCTTGACTACAAACCCTTACTCCAGGTTAACAAGCTTTAAATAGAATACAGAAGAAAGATGTTGAACAAAACCAGTCACCGCAGCCTGTGTTTTGACTGAACTCTTGCACATCCTGAGGTTTCTGGACTTGTGAATCTTCCCAGTGGCATAATCACTGGCCTGCACAACACTGTCCTCAGCTGTTTTCATCACTTATGGGAATTCACCCACCTCACCACTTCAGATAAGACTTAAGAAAATGACAGGAGCAACACAGAGCTCCAGTGAAGAGTGGGACACTGCCAGGTTTTGTTGCATCAGAGCCCTTTGTGCTAAAAAAGGGGCTGCCTTTAAATCATATTTCCATTATAGTTATTACATAGCACATAACACAATTAGTGTATCAAGTATGTAAAACTATTAGATAATTTGGTTGGTACTATATTATGAAAAAGATACATTTTTATAGTAAAAAGTACCATCTCCAAAGATAAAGCACAAAAAATACACATTGAATATGTTCTGTATTGACATTCAGAAAAGAAAAATATCTGATTATTTCCAATAATTTCCCTACTTAATGGACTTAGAAATGTCATTGTATATTTTCTATCACGTACTTACACATGTTCCACTGGGATAACATGGTGGAAGCATGCAGCTTCAGTAGACACCCCACTGGAGTCTGATATGGTTGTCATCTCTCCAGCTGCCTTTGACTACTACAGTCATGAACAAGAAGCCACAGTAGATGAGTTAACCAAGCCTTGCCTTTAGCAAGTCCACAAGGTTTAATGTGGTATTTTGGCTCTAAAGCATGATGACAGAATTACAGAACCACAGAAGGATTGAGGTCAGAAGGGCCCTCTGGAGGTCATTTTGACCTTCCCCCTGATTAAGCAGGGTCATCTACAGCACTTTGCCCAGGACTGCGTCCAGACATCTTTTGAATATGTCCAAGGATGAAGACTCCACAACCTCTCTGGGCAACCTGTGCCAGTGCTCAGTTACTCTCAGAGTGAAAAAGCATTTCCTGATGTTCAGAAGGCATCTCATCTGTTTTAGTTTGTGCCCTTCTTTACGGCCTCCCTTCATAAATATTGGCGAGACCTCCCTGAGGACCTGTGAAACTTCTCCAGCCTTTCCTCATGTAAGAAATGTTCCAGTACCTTAATCATCTTAGTGGCTCTCCTCTGGGCTCTCTGCACATCACTTTTGCACTGGAGAGTCCAGAACTGGACACAGTACTCCAGGTATGCCACAGGGACAGACTGCTGGCCAACCTGGTGTCCACCAGGACCCCTAAGCCCTTTTCCACATAGCTGCTCTCCAGAATATTGGTCTCCAGCAGGTACCGGTGCCTGGGGCTGTTCCTTCTCAGGTACTGAACTTTACGCTCCCGCTTGTTAAACTTCATGAGGTTCCTGTTGGACCATTTCTCCAGCCTGGTGAGGTCACTCTGGATGGCAGCATGACTCTCTGATGTACCAGCCATTCCTCCTAGCTTTGTGTCATTAGAGGGTACACTCTGCCCCATCATCCAAATATTTAACATGAATATTGAACATGAATGGACCCAGTATAGATCTCAGGGATACACAGGTAGTTACTGGTGATGTGTTATGATGTATTTGCTATGCTGACACCAGATCTTACACTATACTTCTGTGCGGTCTAGTCCACAGAATTTTCTAGACAGTGCTGGAGCCTCCCCTTGTGAACACGAATACTGCCAAGCACACTGGTCTGCACTGGCATGGATAAACAGTTTTCAGTTTCTTCAAGCAGCATATTGCAGTTAAATGTAATAAGTACTTTTTCCTTTTCAAAAAATCCTGTATTATTGCCTACAGCCAGCCACAGGAAATGCTCAAATATGCACTAACAGTGATCCTCCTTTGCTTTCTGCTCTCTTCAGTTCCAGTAACTTCATACTGTTGTACTGGTAAATAACTGGACGGTAGGAAGTTGGTCTGCCTGTTTTCCTGTTCTTATCACCTCTGTTTTCATCCTAACAAGTGGTTCCCTTTCCAAGCTTTACTGAATTAAAGTCCCCCATGCACATACCTGGACTGAAGGTTTGCAGTGCCTGGGACTTTTTCCCCTCTTTCTGATAAAACTATTTGAAATGCTAATAGGAAAAAAATTACAACAGTATACATGACTAAAGTCATAAAATTAAACCTCGGATTGCCAGGAAGATGCAAAGTGAAGGTTGCACATGTAGCCCCAACTCTGCCCTTTGGATATTCACATGATGTGGAAATCTTGAATGACATCACACTGTATTTTTATACCATAGAAAGTTTTCCACATGTACTGCTATTCCATGAGTCTCTAGGGCAAAAGTGCCCCGGAACTGCTATTTATAAAGAGATTATCCAAATCCTCAGGTCATGCTTCATTTGCCTGGCACAACAGGCTGAAAGGGAGTCTGTGTTTCTCAAAGTCTAAGATCATCAAAGCTGAGTTTCTCCCATAGAGCAGTATAACAATTAAGAACAAAAAGCTACATGCTTTCCAAATCACTTCTGATTTAGATTAATCTCCAAGTTAAACTGTCTCATTTCAGTTCCTGTTTCAGGCAAAAAACAGTTAATTAAACTGTTCATTTGACATTAAAAAAATAAAATGAAGACTCATTTCACCAAGGGGGAACTACATGGTGGTTCTTCAGCTGTCTTTAACAACTATTTTCAGCATCTCTGCCAGATCCTGTATACCATACATATTCCTGTTAAACTGGCTTGCACCTTTTCTCTGTTTTCCTAGATGTGCAGTAGGCATTGAGGGGCTAAGTGAAAAAATGTGGAACACAAAAAGTTACAGAATTTTATAAGGAGAAATGGGGATTATTGGAAGGAAGGGCAAGAGGGACAGAAAAAGCCCCATTATTCATTTTCTCCTCACTGTAAATAAATTCTTAAGCACCTGAACAAAAAGGATAGGCAATGCATATATTTTCTAGCAAGAACTAGACAGGCTGATTTGCCCTGTTTGCACCCCTAGTGAGCTGTTGGCCATAATAGCCAACTGTTTCCAACACAACAGGCATTAAAATAAAACTGGCTTCACCAAGGAACTGTCTTTTAGCTACAGCCCTCCTTAGCCAGACTAGAAAAGAAACATTGCTCAACAGGTTCTCATTAGGGGATATCAGGTTTTAGGACAATGTTTATTCTAAGCTAATGACTGAAAATAAATATTTAGTCAGGCTGGTTCAGGACCAGTGGAGAAAAGAGATGAACACTTCAGGTTAAATTCCAATTCATGAAAAAAATGCTATTTAAACAAGTTCAATTAGTTTTGACTGCTACAGATCCAACAGGATTCTCAGCAACTGGTGGGGAAAATGTAAACTATATGGATTAGGGGTGACAAAGTCTGAAAGCCTGCAACAACCTCCGGTTCTTCTGAGCGTGCCCAACAAAGTTATATAAATATCTATGTTCAACTGCAGTATACAAAAGTCACTGAACTGAAGATTTCTTCAGATTATCACTATTGACACTAGTTCTCTCACCTTCAGAAGAAACAGACTACCTATCCAGCAAGATGCAATCTCATTGGATAAATCTCATTGATCGATCATGATTAAAAGCAGCATTGAATGGTAGAAGGAAGACAGAATTGGAAAAACTGTTGGCAGTCACAGGAAGTCAGTCTGGGAGAAAGCTGACCTCTGGTTGGCAAATTTTTAAACAGAGGGATTAAATTTTAGTAGGCTGTAAAACTTAATGTTGATATGCACATATATTATGTACAATGACACCATTGTATACAGAATTGCAGGACTTCTCAGGAGCTGAAAGATGTTCATCCACATGCTGAATGCATATAGTTGGAGGTACATTCCACGTATTTATGTAATTCCTGAAAGAAGCGTGTAAATGCAGCCAAGTTACATGGGTCGAGCACACATTTTCTGTAAAGGCAGACTGAACTAGGAATATTCTTGAGATTAATTTTAACTCACTGACCTTTTGCTCACTGATAACTACTTCTGCTTTAGGATAAGCCACTAATCAATGTTAATTTTACAATGCTTTTTCTCTACCTGCTTTGGCATCCACCTTCTACAGTCTGCAGTCATTAAAGTAAGGTTTATGATCTCAGAAACATGGATCTCTTTGGCTCCTCAAAAATACACTGAACCACCAGTGTAAGGCCTGACACACTGAAAAAAAAATGCAATTTAATTGGAAAAAGAATTCTGATTTGAAAGCTTCATGCACAGAGTCATGAAGACTCAAGAAGAGTGGAAGAGCATGGCACCTGCAGGGCTGAATGCTGTAGTGACTGTAGTAACTCCCTTGAGAGAATTTTCCTCTGGCAATTTTTCTGCAAATGAATTTCTTAGGAGAGATGCTGGAGCAGCAAACTGGGGATTGCCCTGAGAAAGAGTATAAAACCAAACTGTAGGGATCTTTCTGAGATTACCTTCTATCTCAGTCCTAGCATATTCTTGCCTCCTGATGAGACAAGAAATATTTTCTTCAACTAACGTTAGGAAAGGCACTTTAAAAAAAAACTACCTTCACTGACTGCATTGATTAGCTTTCTGTTCACTGTTGCAGGCACAACTCACATGAAGACAATTCACCCAGGTGTCAAAATCCATGG